CCTCAAGTTGGTATTTTCAAACATATAATATGTTTGAAAATATTAAGTAGAATTATTTCTTTTTCGTTCCTATTTTACTAAATCGTTTTGATTTAGTACCAGCCATTTAAAAAGAACATGGTGTTTAGGGATCATCTTTGCAGGATGTCCGGAAAAGAAAAAGAGAAGCCAATTTTCTACACAAAAACAAATGTTGCTACTATGCTCAGCGTAGTCGATTACCTATAGTCCATGGCATTTTGAGATTCCCAGAGATGTCTGCTCGGAGATAGTCACGTGCTCGGGAAAAGCGAACCCTGCCAGAACGACGATAGCTAGAGAGCCGGGAGTTGCATAATTTTGTAGAGTAACGTCGGAACTATCTACGCATGCAAAAAAATCACTAACATTGTATGTTAGTTTTCTGAGAACGGATCTGGTTTTCCAAAGATTCTCTGAAAACCCGATCTCTGGAATTTTTTCAAAAGTTGCTTCCGCTTGTGAAAAGTTCTGCTGAAGTTTTGGCTATTGAACAGCGAAAATCGTAGGTAGGTCTCTATCTCATTCCTATCAAAAGTTATTCAAAAAATGTCCAAGGGTCTTGTATTTTGGGATGCATAGTAGTTAGATTTTCTTGAAGTATGGAAAATGCTCAGCGATTTTCAATCTGGAAATTCCTCGGCGATTTGATATGTGGACTGCTGGATATTAGAAAAATAGAATTAATTTTCAGTTATCTGGAAAATCGCCAAATTTCCAGATGATTGCTTGTGTACGAAGCTAAAGACAACGTAAAATTTTAGACGTGTTTGTTATAATACATTAAAATTACACCCTAGATTCTCACAACGCGCTTTGGGATTAACTAACGCTTAACATTATCTTCTTACGACGGAAATTCACCAACCTGTGAGCCAACATCCAGTGGGTCATAGGTTATCGACAGTCCTAAATCCGAATATCACCATGAGACCGGCTACTAGGCCTTGCATGACCTGGTTTTACAGAAAACCAAGTCCCAGAGACCTCAAAAAATCCCCAAAGCTTTTTCAAAACAAGTCAGAGTTGTAGCCCGCGAAATTAGGATCAAAATGAGACATCTCTCAGCTCTACACGACCTTTCTTTACACAGTGATAGAATTTACAGGGTGAGTCCTAAATTCTTTTTTCTTTTTGTAGCTCTGAGGTGGCAATGAACATTTATTATATATTTGGATTCAGGACCGTCGATAACCTATGACCAACTGGATTTTAGCCCCCAAACGATTTTCAAGTTGTTGGACTTTCCTCGTTAGATTAAAAGCGCGTTTACGGATTAAAATAACACCATTGAAACGCATCGAAAGGTCAAAAACTATGTTTTTTACGCTTTAATGTTTTCTAAAACATCGTTTCTTCCATTATCAACGACAGTTAAAATTGAAAATACTTGTTATATTATAGTATAACAAGAGGTGAGATGCTTGACCGGTAAGCGACTGGTGTTTTTTCCTTTCTATTCCATATAAATATGCTTTTTCTGTCATATTTTCTAGTTATAAGCCAAGCGATCGGGCCCTGTCTAACTCGACCGGTCTCGGTTCTGCAGTTTGACCAGAAACGGTCGAACCGGCCGGTTGGTAAGTCTCAACTGGACCGGACCTGGAATGGACGCCCGGTCCGATTGCATCTCTGTCTCAATTCAGACTATGCATATACAGAAAAATAATCGCAACTATCAGCATCCAAAATTCGAACGCAACAAGCACTTTTATTTGCCTTGAACAGGGCAGTTATTTATATTAAACAAAAACTACCTGCCGCTGGAAACCTCAGTTTTGTGCCTTGCTTTTCTAGAGACCCTCTAGAAAACCTTTGAAGATCCGACACTACGTCTACCCAAATCTGCGTTGAATTTTATCCATATAATTTGAGTTTTTATGAAATTATATGGGATCGTGATGTTTTTATTGAGGAGTGCCGGACTCCAGCCTGTTACTCAAATCGCAAAAAAAAGAAAATGGATTTTCTCCGCATCTACTCAACATTTTCCAAAATCGGTGCATAACTTGTTCCACAGTTGTCATGGTTTGAATGGGATAGGAAAGAATGCTTAGTCTTTTAACGAAAGAGACGAGATAGGTTTACAAGATGGGCAGTACCGATTCCAAGGGTCAGTGTTCCAAAATTTTTTTGATATTTTAAGCTAAAATTCGATTAAACTTGGCGTTTTACACTCAGTTTTTCATGAAGAATAGAAAAAAATTGTTTGGGAGTTTTGATAATATTCACCGTTTTCGGCATCTGTAGCGTAGAGTCATCACTACCATCAGATTTGATGGTTTTTCTGACCTGAGATTTACCACTACAAATCATTCCCATCCATGCCAGGCCAAGATCCCTGCTAGATCTTGGTTTTTTCCAATTGAAGGAAGTAAAAGAGACAAGAACAACTAAAACTTTCGTATATGTTTTATAAACTTAATACATAACAAATAATCTAAATCTTACGACGAAACTGCCCCAACGTATTATTTTTGCATTCTACACGAAGGCTATTTCCGTTCTCACGATAGCAACAGAGAGGCAAGAAACAGTATTTATTTTCTATAATAAATTAACAAAGAGTCAGCATGCCGCATATAGACAGAGACGTTTATTATAAGCTATTTGAATTTTTTCTTTCTCTATCACCGAAACAAAGGGATAGAGAAACACGATCGATGCCGTGTAATCACGAACAAAGAGTCTGATACGAAAAAAAGAGCCAAACATTGAATGAGTAACGGTAAATAAAATAGATTTTATTTTTTCTTGCTTTTTCAGCGAAATGAATTTATTTCGACGGGATATCATATCATAAGATTTATTGACAACGACCATAAAAGTACAGTTTAATTATATGAATCATTCATATTCACTATGCATGGCTACATTTTGAAAAATTACGGTTTGAGAGTAAAACAATTATGTGTTTTAATCCTTTTCTTTGTGTCAATAAACATCGTCATGTTATCGCACTGAAAATGAGTTGTTTTATGCATTGTGTACTGTACCCAGTATCACAATAACGAAAAGAACTCTAGTTACAGGATATTTACGTAGGACTTCGACCACTTTATACCCAACTTCTTCCGCAAACTGTGAGTCTGTCTGAAGTAAGAGCCCGTTGAACTCCAATAAAAGATATCACCTTGAAAATATTTCAGACTGGCAGCATGGAGTTTGAAGCGCAGGCGACATTTATCTTTTTTGACCAAATCTAACGAACTAAGTCCTCATCGGAATGATGTTTATATATTACCACTGTCGGATAAAATCTTATGATTATATATTGGAATATAACTTCGTATCGCGATAAGGGGTGGACCGTTACCAGTTATCGTTATAGTAACGTTAACGACTCAAGCATTACCATTTTCGATAACGAGTAACGGCAACGGTTTGACTGTAAAAATTTTGACTTAGTACGTGTTTATGTTACCCGTTACTAGTAAAAGTAACGATTCAAGCGTTACCTTTACTACTAATGGTGCGCAAAACCGTTACCGGAGTAACGGCCCATCTCCTAGTCGCAATAAACACCGATCTTGTCGCGATAGTGAGTGACTTCCTGTTGTAGAGCGATAGTTATTTTATCGCAGTCTACAGGGAGATTGTATTATGCAGATCACTAAAGACTTTATCGAGATAGAAATATTATCGCGATGCAGTGCAAGAAAATTTGAAAAAAGTGTGCCGAGATACGTGCTTTCATCTCAATAGGTAGGAAATGTATCTCGATAGCACTCGTATCTGGATATATCAAGTACCCTGATATATCGTGATATTTACATTTTCCGAATAAACAGAGTGTTTACGCTAATCACTCACTTAAGCGCCCATTGGATCACGAAGTGGACACTTGCTCGGCGCAGCTAGGTATTTGATCCGAAAAATCCACGATTAAGCGGGTACTTGAGTTATTTGGTAAGCTAGATTTCCTTACTTACTCTTTTCTGCCTGGGTATGATAGAAAGAGGATACAACCTGAGCTTTCGTTACATGAAAACAGTATTTACTCAACATCAGTTTTGTGAAGAGCTATGGCTTACACTAATACTTCAAACGGACTGGGTTATTTTTTTATTACTGCGTGGAAAAAGAAAATCTAGATGAATCGATATGCTACTAGAAAAGAGAAATTATTTTTTTGCATTCTGCACGAAGGCTATTTCTGTTCTCGCGATAGCAACAGAGAGGCAAGAAACAGTATTTATTTTCTATAATAAATTAACAAAGAGTCACCATGCCGTACTTTTGAGAGATACAAGAATGTTGAAAATGATTTAGGTAGAGCATACCTTCGACCAAATGAGAAAACTGCAACATATGTCGTGAAGCTACTGGATCACACATCTGTTCCAGTCGTAAAACATTATTTGGCCCTCTATTTCCGTGAGAGGCTATGTTTCAGGGAGGTCCGTTCACAGAAGGATCGGTTCAGGGAAGAGTTGTGTCACGAAAAAATAAGAAGTTATTATTGACATTTATAGATGAAATATATGCTTTCAACAAACTACTATCCGTTCCAAATGGTCAGACCGCTGGTTGCTTTTTGAATAACTTGGAACGGATAGGAGATGATACTCCTGTTGTCTTCCCCATTCAAACCGCAACTGACCTGAAAAAGAAAGAAATATTTATTGAGGTAAAATTCTTTTTTTCCCGCGCTTATCCACATGTAATTCAACTAGAGAATGAAACAGCGCTTTTTCTTTTCCAGACATAAGTTATTCCATACGATGATAAACATTGATTTAGCCTACTACGCAAATGTGGTTCCTTATTAGCGGTCATACGTGGAAGGCATCCGGCAGAAAACAAGGGTTTTAGCTTCAACTACTACTCTATCCAATTCTGTCTTATTCTCCATGTTGAACGTCCACGCTCGAGAAACATTATTTCTTTAAGAAAATTTTTTTTGGTTGCGCTATTAGTATACAGGTCCTCTTGGCGGTTCTTACCCCGTTACCTGTGGAGTTAAAAATATTTTGAAGGACTCACAAGAGCTAACACAGTTTTGATTTCATTGATGGCTGAAATTCGAAAATTTGTGAAGTAACGAGAGCATTTTCGCAGAAGTGAATTTTTACAAAATTTCAAAAAATTCACAAAAAAAATTTACAAAAATTCTTACTTTTCGTTTTCTGAAGGGATCTATCGAAAAACTAAACACTTTTTAAATTATTACTTTTTTGCATGAACTATGCGCTGTAGCCTAGAGGTTTTTCTTCACGGAATCGACATCAAAACCGTTTGTATTGTTCATATCGAGATCCGACACTCAAAAGTATCAGAATCTTCAGTGTAAAATTCTGAAGTACCATCTTCAGTATTTAACTCTCAAAGCGAGATAATTTACCTCTGCGCTTCATGATCTTTGACTCATCAAACGCTGATTTTCACGCTGATCACAAATATCAACTTTGAAACGCATGAAAGATTAATTTGGGAAAAAGAAAAAAGATTAATAATAAAAAAAAAATAAAAAAGATTAATTTGGGATCCTGAAATATTGGCCAAGCTGAAAGACGGTGTTTATTTTTTAAAACCATTCTTTGAAATCGGCGATTGTCCTGAATTTATTCGCGAAAATGCAGACAAAAAGATATTTTTAATATCATCTGGCACAATGGGTGAACTCATCGTACCGCAAATTGCGGAATGGCCACAAATTCATGGTATTTATATATTTTGCGGTAACATTGCATATCATGTAGAGTGGGCTTTGGACTACTCCGAATATATAACGTCATTCTCAGATCATCAAGATGATTTACTCCTACGATTAACAAGGGACATTGCCATGTACTTGGAGAAAAAAGGGGATGATTACCTAGACCTAATGGAAACTGCTAAATCAAGAAGTTGCTACGCATGGGCAATTAAATTAATTCTTCGCATGCGTCAAGTGAATAACAGACTTTACAGAGATATACATGATAGAGTTATGGCAAAGTTTCAATCAGCAGAAATCGCTTCCGAATGCACGGAAGAACAAGATGAAATGAACAATAGGAAGAACGAAATACCAAGCCAATCGACTAATCGACATACGATGGCTGAATCTCCTTCGTTAACGCCAAAATTAATAACGGGAAAGTATGCAAGGCAATGAACGTTTGTCTATTATTATGATAAATGTACTGATTTTCTGTTGTAGATCCACTATTGATGACAATGACCAAATATCAAGATTATTCAACGATGTACAGGATTTTACTGCTGTATACTTTCATGCTGCCCATGAAGAAAATAATCAAACTCACAATACTTTAAAAAGTATTTTCAATCATTTGAAACTGTCTGTTTCACTCTGCGAGTGTATTCATTATATGTACTCACGTAAAACAAGTAATATTTTTTTTATTGTATCAAGTTCATTAAGCAAGTTAATTATTCCGCTACTAGATGAACTATCACAGATTAAGATAATTTACGTTATATGTGAAGATAAAATTGAAGAGGATGATTGGATAAAACCAGAGTATTTAAAAATCCATAATAAAATTATTATTAATAAAAATTTACTTTTTGAACAATTAAGAAAAGATATTTCCGAACACATGCGTTCAATAGATAGAGCCGCACCGCTACCATTAAGTCAGTTTAGATACACTGAAAAAACTCGTGCAATACAAGATTTAAGTAAAGAATCAGTTATCTTTATTCATTTTCAATTATTAATTGAAATGTTACTTCGTATGCCGCCATCATCTAGGGCAAAAAAGACTTTTTTAGATGTATGTCGTCGGTATTATTCAAATGATGAAGTAGAACTGAGAAACATTTCACACTTTGAGGGTACATATAAGTCAGATCAAGCAGTTTTATGGTATACCCGTTCTTGTTTTGTTCGTTTAATGAATCAAGCGTTACGTACGCGAGATCCTGATTATTTGTATATGTTTCGTTCTTTTATTATTGAATTACATAATCAATTAACCGAATTATATAATAGTCGCCCTCAACTGCCACTATCACCCATCTATAGAGGCAATGTTCTACCATCTAGCGTGATTCAAAATTTGAAAGAAAATATTAAAGGACTTGTATCGATGGACACATTCTTATCAGCAACTACAAATCAACAAATCAGTGATATTTTTTGTGGAAAAGGTGATTCGATTAGTCCAGATTGTGAGCGTGTATCTTTCAAATTCAATATTAATCCTAGTATCAAAAGTAAACCTTATGCTTCAATTGCAAAACATAGTGCTGTGGAACATGAAGATGAAATATTATTTTCAATTGGTCCCGTTTTTCGAATAAAGTCCTTTAATGAAGACAGACAAAATGAAATTTTGAATTTCGAATTAGACTTAACCGAAGAAAAAAATCAACGTTCTGTTGAATTAACAGATTATTTAAAAAAGCGCATTGGTGAAACACCAACACTCTTAACACTAGGAGATTTTTTATGCGAAATTGGTGAGTACAAAAAAGCAGAAAAGTTCTATTGAATGTTACTAGAAGAAATACCAAAAGACGATGAGCGTAGAGCGATGATTTATAATAGTTTGGGATGTCTTATGTATGAAATGAAAAATATTGGAGCTGCACAAAACTATTTCGAACAAGCAATTGAAATAATGAATATCATCAACAGTAATTACCAATTAATTATTTTAACTAGATGCAATTATGAAATGGCTTATTTCGATAGCCCTCTACATCCAGCTACATCACACGCAGAAGCAATTGAATTGCTAACACAAGCCACATCAGCCAAATACTTCGAGTCACAAATCTTAAATAATATAGGTCGTCTTTATTATAAAAAATTTGATTATCCTAATGCGATGGAGAAATTCAATCAAGCACTTGATCTTCTAAACGAATTGAAAGTGCGTTATCCACCTGATTAATCAGCCATACATAATAACATTGGACTTGTACATTTTAAAACAAAACAGTACACGGATGCATTAGGAAAATTTCAATTGGCAATTGATATTGGCTTAGAATACTGGTCGCCCGAACATCGATGGATTAATGAATACAAAAAAAATAAAGCAACAGCAGAAAAATGCCTAACAACAAACTCCAAAACATGACGGAATTCTGGCGAAAGTACACTAAGTTTTGAAGAAAATAGACAGAGTTCTGGTGAAAGCACACCAATTGCTGAGGAAAAAAGACAGAGTTCTGCTGAAAAATGCTTAATTCTTTAGCCCCGGAGGGAATTTTTTCTAAGATCCAGGAAAGGTGACTGTTAATACTAAAGTGGAGCTTTTGAGTGCTCACTATGCCCATTCCAAACTTAAAATAAAATGAAGTTGCCTAGGTGACAGAATACAGAATATCCACAGGCGAGGACAATAGGTGGGAACAACATGAAAAACGCAATTGTTTTCTTTGTGTTGTCCGAACTTGTTCTGTCAAAATTCCACATTTTGAGAAAAACACGGTCATATTCGAAATCAGGATCAATAACTGGATCGAATGACCTGGGTCTCAGTGTTTTGGGAGAATATTTGAAGTTTACGTGAAAATTTTGGTGTTGGATTTTTGAAAGAAACGAAAAACTTCGGGACCATTCAAAACTCCTGGCACCCATGTCGTTGGACCCAGTTCTTGACCCTGAATCTGAATAACTTCAGCTCTAACGATTGTCATTAAATCAGCGCAATCGAAATCTACTGCAAGACGAGAAACAACATACAGAAAAATGCTGAAAGAACAATTAGTAACTCACAAACACTTGATCAGAAGTCTGTGTGTTTTAATCGTGCTTGCATTGCCACGGTTGGTCATATCGTTTATTTACGGTTGTGTGAAACCTCAACAAACATATTTCTTCCTAATCGGTTATCTGATTCCATTTATGCCGCCTGTGACAACCTTTCTAATTTTTGTGCTGCCGTCAAAGACATATAAGACTGAGCTATACGCGACTCTGAAACGACTACGACGTTGAAATGGTAGGAACTAACGCATTTCGTTCAGTACTGCTAGCTTTTGTTGTTGCTACTATTTCCAAACGTGACTGAAACTTATTTCTTAACAGCTTTATTTGTTCGAGACTTTTTGCTATTAAAAACACCATATACATAGTAATTTTTATTTGTATCATATCTCAAAAACAAGGTAAATAGCAAAATGTATCGTGTGTGCAAGGTGACACAAAGAATACTGGACTACTATATCAGACATATTAAGCTGTTCACCTTGTTCAATTAATGATAAATTTTCTTGTCTTACGCTTACTTTTAGCGTGAACGGGAAATTTGATCAAGTGACGTCCATTGGAATCTTCGAACGATTCAATTTGATTCAGCACGATTGTAAATTCAACAGATAAACAGGATATAGAACAGCTTAGATACTCTACATTCTGAAATTCTGAACTCGTTCTGATATTTATTGAGTGAATAGTGAACATTTTAATATTAGCTGAAAACAGCCTGAAAACGCAAATTTTCGTAAAAGTCGCTTTTCGATAGATTTTTAGAACTTTTTCTAAAAGCAGATATTGCCACAAGACTCAGCATGATCGATTACCTATAGTCCATCCGTTTTCAAGACTACCAATAGTAACCGCATGTCAGTGCTGGGACTCGTAGGAAATCCAGTACAACGCCCGAACAGCGGAAAATCAAGGCCTTAGTTCACTCCCATTTTGAAGAGAACATCCCGGGCTATTGGTCCGTGGAAAAAAAGTAATACAATCCTATTGGAGAATTTTTACAGACGGCCTAGTTTTCCAAAAAATCTCCTAGAAAATCTGTTTCAGAAAACTCTTCTGAAAACAAAGTTGGTCATGAAGACATGCCTTCAAGTCTCTTCTTTTGAATGCTGAAAACCGGAGCTCTCTAGCTCGTTTCCGTCAAAAGTTATTATTAAATTAATAGCACATGTCCGTCTGCGCTAGCCAAAATTGCCCACTGTGTGGCGTGGGGTCGGAAACTTTCATTTCCCATAGGATCTAACGGTCAGTTGCCAGGGAATTATCTGTGAGACGGCGAAACGTTTATAAAACCTGCATTCTACCGATTATTCATTATTGTTGTGTAGTATAAGATAGTAGTTTAATAACACATTCAGAACTGCTAACATCTGTTCATGAACTGGCTGTATGCATGATACTGAATGATTATTTTTCTAATAGCACTATTCTCATTCAGAAATTGAAGCTACCAGAATTAGCTGCAAGAAGAAAATGTTTTAGATTAACCTTGTTGTACAAAATTATTACTGAATGAAGCGCACTATCACGCTTGTCCTTAGTTAGTCCACTTATCACCATAACATCTCAGCGAACTTTCAGTCAATGTCTTTGGCAAGTTCCATTATTTAAACGTAAAACCACTGGCTCATTTGTCCTACCAAAAACTATAATTTTAAATGAATTCGCTAGTGCTCTTCATATTGAAAGCAAGCCCAAGATGCCAGAATGTTCTAATCGGGTGGAGAATGCGTCTTTAACGAGATCAGCATGTGCATAATCGAACTATCCGCGATGTACCTTATTTTCGAAACAAAGGAAGTGTACAGATGTTTATCTTTTAACTCTACACGATCATAATCGATCTCAATGATTTTTGTTCCACATGAATCTAAAGTAGGAGCAGGGTAAAGTCACGTTAATAGATTCAGTTTAAAATACCGTCTAGGAGCTCATTTTCAAGAAAAAAATGTTTGTGATTTAAGATAGTTTTTAATCAAACGAAAATATGAAAACTGTCTTGAACAGGCTCACCTCTTCAGAATTAATCAGGAGTATGACAGAACATTGTACGATGAATGCGGAATTGACAACATATTTATACCAATTGAATAGTTCACTAAATAAAATAATATAGTCACATTGATAATAGGATATATGAACCAATATCAGCTATTGGAAACATTATAAAGACGCAGGACATTAATTTAGATTAACCTCAAATTTGTACAAAAATAAATAAGCCAAATGAGAACTAAGACCGGTGCTTGTTCATTGCCATACTAATTGTCTGACGAATAAGGATTCTGCCAACAATAAAATACTATTTTCGACTAAGACTCTGATCAGCTGCCCAAAAGTGTCCCAATTGTTTCTTGTTGACCTTTTCTTTTTGTGTTCATGTACATTCATGCACTGTGGAAGGTGGTAATAGCTTTTCTATGTTATTCACTCCATGCATTTAATCAGTAGGTTAGACTACAATTTTTTCGAAAAGCACTGAGAACCCAAAAGATATGTCTCTTGTCAAATGACCTGAATTTGGCTCGCACATACGCCTGCATGGCAGAAGCATTCTACTTGCTTGGTAATCATCTATCGGCCGTCAAATATATTCGGCTTGCTATTGATATTGCTCGTCAAGAAAATACTCCTGCCGCCAAACAACTTCTTGAACAGTCTCTTGAACAGTCTACATCGCTTTTTTTCGTACTAATATGTAACTCAGGAACTCAGTAGCTGAGTAATTCATGTGCGCATATACATATGTGTTTGTATATGTATGAGGTCTGGAACTCAGTTTTCGACGCTGGGCACGAATATGAGGTTAGTTTTTGATGAATTCTTTTATGGGTGGAATTTAATTTTCAGGAATCCGTTGTGCCCCAGAGAAAGACAATGGTTGTTCTCTCTTCTTCTCTTAGACAAGATATAACATGAATTGTTTATTTAAGGCTAAACGAAGGCGTCTGTTTTGACTTTCTTGAATTAGTGCAACTCGCTGTCGTGAAGTGTGTCTTATCAGTGTACGTAAGAAAACGCTTTTTCTCCGGTAAAATGTAATATTGTGAAGTTTCACTTCATCTATGTCTTACGGGATGTTTTATGTGAAAATTGTAACAGTTCGAAATTGTAAAATTATAATATTCTAGTATTCTAACATTCTGATATTCTCGAATTATAAGATTATAAAATTGTAATATTCTACAATTATAATATTCGAGAATTCTAGTATTCTCATGTTCTGATATTGTAAAATTCTAAAATTGAAATAGTCTAAAATTGTAATATTCTAGAATTGTAATGTTATATAATTGTGATATTCGAAACCATACTGTTCTAATATTCTGAGATTCTAAAATTGTAATATGATCAACATTCCAGTATTCTGAATTCATGAAAAGAAAAGGTCAACAAGAAACAATTGGGACACTTTTGGGCAGCTGATCAGAGTCTTAGTTGAAAACATGGTAATATTGAAGAATTCTTATATTCCAAAATTCGTCAAGTACTTACTGTTCCGAGGTATGAAAACGAAAATTTATATCTTTCAAGTTCAGAGGGGACAACGGATTCCTGAACATTAAATCCCGTTTTCCACCCATAAAAGAATTCATCAAAAACTAATCCCATATTCTTGCTCAGCGTCGAAAACGGCGTTTAGTGATGCGTCACTCGAAGTTCAGCAAACTTCTACTTACCTGTAAAAATAACGCGCTGAAGAGTTTCACTCACTATACACCGGACGGGCGAAGAAAGGCATTTTTGCAAACGAAAACCTTTCCGTACGACAACGTTTTCGAAAACTGAGTTCCAGACCTCATACATATACAAACACATATGTATATGAGCACATGAATTACTCAGCTACTGAATTCCTGAGTTCCTAACTTCAAATACTATACACACATACACATATATGAGCACAGGAATTTCTGAGTTCCTAACTTCGTAAATCTACACACATATATGACCACATGAATATCTGAGTTCCTGACTTCAAATATATACACACAGCTATAACCACATGAATTTCTGAGTCCCTCAGTTCCTAACTTCAAATATATACACACATAGAATTGTAATGTTATATAATTGTGAATATTAGAACATCAATTGACGATTTTGGGTTGAAGATAGATCACAGTGTTTTACTATTCTTTATTTCACAACCGAAATCTGTTACTGTCTCGTCAGACACTTGTGGAACCATTCGATGGCTATTATCATCAACGCATGTACATATTAGTACGAAAAAAAGCGATGTAGATACTGTTCAAGAAGTTGTTTGGCGGCAGGAGTATTTTCTTGACGAGCAATATCAATAGCAAGCCGAATATATTTGACGGCCGATAGATGATTACCAAGCAAGTAGAATGCTTCTGCCATACAGGCGTATGTGCGAGCCAAATTCAGGTCATTTGGCAAGAGACATGACTTTTGGATTCTGAGTGCTTTTCGAAAAAATTGTAGTGCAGCGAAATAATCTGTGTTTACGACATGAACTTGACCAATATGTACGTATACAATAGCAAGGTCTGGACTGTCGGGCGGAACGGTTTGCTCTAAGATTTCACGTGCTTTTTCAAAGAATTTCTTTGCTGTCCAATGATCTTGCTTCATGAAATAAACGATGGCTTTATTGCAATAGGCGGCAGCAATCGATGGATGATTCTCAGGAAGCGATCTTTCACCAATATCGATGGCTTTCTGATAGTATTGGAGAGCCACTTCATAGTCTCCATTTGATCGATGCGCTTCACCGAGATTGTTGTAGGTGACAACGAGTGTTCCGTGGTCGGTCGGAAGAGATCGACCTTCGATTCGACAGGTTTCCCGATAAGACTGAAGTGCCAGCGAGTGATTGCCCATTAAACTATGGACTGTCCCGATGTTGTTGTGGACGGTAGCAAACGCTGGATGGTTAGGTGGAAGAATTTCTTTTTCAATTGCCAATGTTCGCCGAAAGAATCCAAGTGCCGTTGAATGGGCACCCATCGATTGAAACACTTGACCAACGTTATTGTAGGCAGTAGCCAATTCTAAGCGATCAGAATTGATGGCTGGATCTTCCAGATATTCAAGAGCTTTTTGATAGTATGCCAGTGCTCGTAGATAATTGCCTAATTCACGATGAATTAGACCGATATCGTTGCAAGTGATCGCGATCGATCGAAAGTCAATGGGAATACTATTTAAACCCGTTGTCAACGCTATATAATAGAACATTAATGCTGCCTGAAAATTTCCGTTCTCTCGATTGATTGCTCCTAGTTGATGAGTGGTAGAGGAAATATACGTCCTGCCTCGATTTGGTATTGAATTGGCTAGTTTTAATAAGACTTCTTCGGCTTGCTTGAACTTACCCATTTTGACCAGTGAATGACCTAATCGATACGAGGCCATTAGATTCGGTACTGAATTGATTAGTTTTAATAAGACTTCTTCGGCTTGCTTGAACTTACCCATTTTGATCAGTAAATGACCTAATCGATACGAGGCCATACCTCCTTTAATCTCTTTGCGTAATTGTTCGGTAAGATGAGCAAGATCTCGGTCATTGTCACTAGTCAGTTTCAATTCAACATTCCAGAATCCTTCTTTGATCTGTGTCACCTCACGGATGCGAAAAATAGTATGCATTGAGAAGAGAACTTCATTTTCCGAACCGAACACGCAATCATCACCTTTCAATTCAGCGAATGGTATCCGTGAAACCATCGGCTCAATTTCGATTTGAAATAGCAAAAGCATCATTTGTGGATTTTGGAGAGTAGACTCGGCAAACATATACGCGACATCTCGATCGATACTTGTCGAGAGAAAATTATTGAACGAAATAAGACCATCTTTGTTGTTGCGTATCTTTGTGAATTCGTCAGCAGACATGGACTGACCTCGATAGACTGTCAATTGCCTTGGTGTTGCGTTATCATGAAGCTCTTTGATTTTTCGATGAATATCACGTATCACAAATCCCATCTTGACCAATGCTTCGGTATCTTGGGTTCTCAATGCTTGATTAAGCATTCCAAAGAGAAAAGAGCCGCAGGTGTACCACCAAATTGGTGAATGACATTCATAATCTTGCTCAAATTTATCAATAAGAGACGATACAGTTCCGCCACCATCAGATGTTTGACGTCGGCGACAATAGTTCCCCAGATCTGCCTTGGCCTTTGCGTCATAGTCGAGTTCAAGAACAATTTCTTTGATCAGTTGAGAGTACGTAAACGATTGATCGAGCTGATCCAAATCACTAGTGAAAATATCCTTGGATGCCAGCGTACTGATTGACATGAGATTATTTCTACATTGCCGAATGTTTCGTTTGAGCAGATGGCAAATCGGTTCTATGGTGTTGAAGTTTCCTTTGAGTTTGTTCGACTCCGGATAACAAGGTTGATGTGTTGCCTCATGAGCGGAAAAGAAGTAGATCGAATCGAGTTGAGGTAATTCCGAATTACCTCAGCGCCTATTACAGCGCCTATTACAGGTAGCGCCACTCGTCCATGGCATGGATGAGTGGCGCTACCTGTTCTCCCAGAATGCCGGTTATGATCATGAACACTTTGTCATCTTTGATGTCGGTCAGAAAATCGATGCACTCATCCACGTTGGTAAACAGACGAATCGTTTCACTGACATATCGAAGTTGTTCGATTGAGTTCGTATGATTGACAGTAGTATTCAACCAAATCAGAACACAATTCTCAGTCATAGGTCAATGTTTTTTTACTTCAAAGCCTAGTGTGCTTAATTAGGTACTTCTACAAAATAGCCACACCCTGGACTATACAGTGTACGTATAATACAGAACCGAAAAAAAAATGTGATTGGCTGATTTTAATATATAATCATTTAACTGAATATAAGATGTCAGAAAGAGAAGATAGCAAGTAAATAATTAGAGGTCGATGCATTACGAGTCAAATTTAAACAAACAGACACTATCGAGAACACAATGAACAATTAACAGACAACAAGAAACAAATCGAAATTGCTAACTATCGTGAATATGAGTCTTTGTTGAACAGTGGTCGAGTGAATTTAATGGGATACAGCTATGAAGTGAGTGATTCCTTCCTGCTCCCAAGATTTTGATTTGTAGCAAATGCAATCATCCAGGTCATACAAAGAAGAACTGTTAGAACTCGAACTTTGACATTTGTCGGCGTTGTGGAGGCGACCGTACAAACATTCAGGCTCATAAAAACTGTACAGTGAAGTGCCATCACTGCGGTGAAAACCATGAGTCAACGAGCTACAAATGTCGTGTAATATCGCATAGTATAATAGCGCATGAAAAAGAAATTCTGGATTTGAAGTACAAAAACCACATTGCTGCTATGAATCAAACGTGGCTTTTAATTGAGCAGGGACAAGAGACTCAACGACAAAGAATCTCTAAAGCAAGTGCAGCAGTTAGTGGAACTATGTTTGACACCTGTCATCTACTAACAGAAAATCTATGTTCAGTCGTGAAATCACTCAAATCAACCTCAGGATCGTCAGAATTCGATCAATTTATCTCAGCACTCAAAACTCAGCAAGAATTCATAAGAGAAAAAAGACAGCAATATGAACGTTACCAGATTGAGTTAGACTCAATTTCCATTGAACAAGCACAAAGTTTGAAAAATGCATTGTCTACACTCTTCAATCAAAATAATGTACAGTGAAAACTACTACCTTAATGAAGAATTGATCCAGCAATTTCAAGGAAGTGTAAGAGACATTGAAATTTTAAAAGATATTGTTGCTGAGTGGAATTCTGTGAGTGCAGTGAGTGAGTTGTGTAAGGTTTGGAAAAAGGATCCGCCTAATATAACTTCTGAAAATCTAAGTGTACTACTTTGGAACTGCCAGGGCTTGAGTTCTCATCTTTCTGATTTCGATTTTCTTCTTTCTACTCATACTCCTCAAATCTTTGTTCTCACTGAAGTCGGTAGTAAACAGCTAGGAGGGTTGCCCTCAATGCCAAAATACCAGTGGTATAGTCAAAAAGGAAATAATCGTTGGGGTGGCGTAGCTATTTTGGTTCACAAAAATTTAAAATGTACAATTTCAGATCAGTCTGAAAATTTTATTTTGTTAGAAATAGAAATTTTAAAAGAAAAAATATTTGTAGCAGGTGTTTATGTCC